AATTCTTTAAGAAATTTTCGGATCTACTTTCTCCCCTGTTGTTATCAGTTTTTGAGGAATCCTTGGCTACACAATTATTGCCACTGTCTATGCGTCAGGCGGGAATTTCCTTGCTTATAAAGAAGGATAAAGACCCCTTGAGCTGCAGTTCATATCGCCTAATATCGCTTTTAAATACTGATGTAAAAATTCTTACAAAGWTGTTGGCAAAACGAGTCGAACAGATTATCCCCACAATTGTTTCACCTGACCAGACCGGTTTTATTAAAAATCATCAACCCTTCTTTAATATCAGGCGGTTGTTTAATGTGTTGTATCCTTCTGCTCCACCCAGTCACAATAGCAATGAAATTTTAATCTCACTGGACGCAGAGGAAGCGTTTGACTGGGTGGAGTGGAACGATCTTTTTAAGACCTTGGAGATGTTTAACTTCGGTCCTAAATTTGTTTCATGGGTGAAGCTGATATATACCTTGCCAATGGCCGCAGTACACACTAAAAGTAATTTATCCAGCTATTTTGAATTGGAACGTGATACGAGGCAGGGGTGCCCACTCTCGCCACTCTTATTTGCAATCGCGATTGAACCACTCTCAGTGGTTTTACGTAACAGCCCTAAGATTAAAGGTATCAATTGGTTTGGCACTGAACATAAAGTTTCCTTATACGCTGATGATGCTCTTCTTTATATTTCAGATCCCTTGTCTAGTATTCCTGAGTTACTTCTTTTACTTCAAAAGTTTGGAAACATATCTGGTTATAAGGTTAACCTTCAAAAAAGTGAATTGATGCCTGTGACCCCAATAGAAGAGCAGCATATGGGTCCAGTTCCTTTCAAAATTAGCTCTGCCAAATTTAAATACCTTGGTATTTGGATTACTCACAGTCACAAAGATCTTTATACAGCAAACTTTCTGCCTCTCCTGGTGAACCTTAAGAAGGACATCGCTACATGGGCATCCCTGCCTCTGTCCCTGGGGGGTAGAATCAACGCGATCAAAATGACAATATTGCCCAAATTACTTTATCTATTTCAGAGCGTGCCAGTGTTCCTCACCACGACTTTCTTTACAAATTTAAATAGTGAATTGTCATCCTTTATTTGTAATAAAAAACATCCACGGCTGTAAGATGTTACAGTTACCCCATGGTCTTGGTAGCTTGTCACTCCCCAACTTTTTATTTTACTACTGGGCGGCCAACATTAGAGCCTTACTGTACTGGTTGAGAGAGGACAATCMTGTTCCTACTTGGGTAATTCTAGAGAGGAAATCAGTTACGGCGAGCTCTCTCTCTGCTTTACTTTGCTCCTGGTTACCGTTTAATCAACCGATCTATATTTATACTTCTAATCCGGTTGTAACTCACACAATAAAAATCTGGAATCAGTGCAGGTTGTTTAAAAGTACAGAATTATTATTGTCTGCTCCAATATCAAATAACCATATGTTTGCTCCTTCACTAATGGACTCTGTTTTCAATACTTGGAGTTTAAAGGGAATAACTTCTCTAAATGATCTTTATATAAATAATAAGTTCGCCTCATTTGAACAGTTAGCACAGACATTTGACATCCATAAGTCACAGTTCTTCAAGTATTTACAACTGAGACATTTCTTAATGTCAAGCTCTGGATGTTTTCCTCTACGCCCCCCAACTTCTCTTATAGATGAGATTCTGATGTGTAAGTCTGTAACAAAATACTCTATGAGTAGAGTTTATTCTCTGCTCAGCTCATTTTCTGACTCCAATTTAGATTCTTTGAAGGGCAAGTGGGAGATGGACTTGGAGGAATCCATATCAGACACAGTTTGGCAAAAAAATTATTCAAAATATGTATTCGTCCTCAATATGTGTGAAACAAGTTATATTTCAATTCAAGGTAGCACATCATCTACACTGGTCTAAGGACAGATCGTGCAAATTCAAAAGGGACTTGGATCCGACGTGTGATCGCTGCAAACAATCTCCTGCCACACTTCTACACACATTCTGGTCATGTCCAAAGTTACATGGATATTGACAATGCATCTTTGATACCTTTTCAGGAATATTTGGATGAACTGTTCATCCATCACCACTCATTTCTCTTTTCGGAGTGGCTCCAGCAGAAGCCTCCTTCAGTAAACATCAAAGGACGGTGTTAGCTGTCTGCTCTTTACTGGCTAGAAGACTCATTCTTCTTCGTTGGAAGGATCCACGTCCTCCTCTATATCAGTGGTTCCCAAACTTTTTATCTTCTGACCCACAAAATATCCATGACAAAAACTTGTGACCCCAAATATTACTGGTCTGAGTACACAAACTTCATTAATAACCCTAAAAACACAGGCTTTTTGACAATCTAAACAGCTTATACGAAAATATAAATACTTATTTTCACTTTTTTGTGTTTTTGTAATAGTTATAGGGAAAATATTACATCAGCAATTATTTCATTACCCTTTAAATTGATT